ATCTCGGTGGATCGGAAAGGGGTATACGAGAATGGATGTTCCTTGCGAATGTAAGAAAATTATCGAATGTAGATTCAAGTGATCTTGATATAGTTCTATTATTTCAAAAGCGATAACGATTTATATCACCACCTATTTTTGATATTCAAGATTCTGGTTTACAAATGTTATCAGATTTATCTTAACTTACAGAATCAGTGTCTCGCACATCTTGTTCATTTTCTGTGGTCGACTGTTGTTGAATCCTTCCAACTTCTCTATGTACAGCCGATAGTCATCTGACTGCTGGTCGGTTTGCTCATGGCGTCCACCGATGAAGGATGATTTGGGTAGTCGGTCTCCTCAGATGATTGGCACCCAGGATTTCTCCTTCGTTATTGTCGATCCTCAGATCGGTCCTCCGGTAGCGCCTCAGTCGTGTAGTCCTTACCAGAGTCTGGTATTGGCTGTCCGTTTTGTGGGTTGGCGTACGTCTCCTCGGAGTACGAACTGCATCAGCTCCGTGACTTAGCGGTCTTTAGCGGGATTGCTCTTTTTACATTGCAATTCCAGCGTATTATATTCGATGGTATCCCGATGATATCCCACCGCTGCCACCAAAATTTATTGTGCCCGTGGCGGTACAACGAATAATTTGGGATTCTTGGGTTCGGGTGCGTTCGAAGAATTAGCATTCACCGGTAGTTGAGCGAAAGGAAGAATTTATTCAACTTAAGTTACACTTTGTCGTTGGATATCAATATGCCCGCAGGGCGATGAGCGTCGTTTTTATACAGTCGCATTCGTCTGAAAATGAGGTGGTAGGGGTGTCGGGATGCCATCCGGCAAGACATAGGTTTTGCTTAACAGTTTGGCACGTGTTGCTGACTCGATATTCGTTACTCGTGCCGAGTGACTGCGGACGGTCTCACGGTGTGATATGCTAATACACATCCGGGCTCAACACTTTTATCTGAAGGCTTTGAATAAATTTTAAAATAACTTTGGCCAGCCAGCCAGCTCGAAAAGACGTGTAGGCGAGCGTCGAGCGTCGAACGACAAAGGCCAACGACCGATAGTCGGCATGCAATGTAAACAGACGTAAATGAGATAAGGAATCACGCATGAATGAAAATTTAAACTTTTACACTCTTCAATATATATTAATGAGAGTGTTATGAATGAATTGAAGAGATTCTCACGATGAAAATGCGTTCAAATTTGAGTGTAATTAAACAATTTTTACTCATATGTAATGTTGCGGATAAAAATGATATACTATTGAAAATAGTCCGAATGATATAGTCGTATTTGGACACATTTCCACCGGCAGAATCTCCTCAGTTCATTCGTGACACTTTCATGAATATACATTGAAAATGTAAAAGTATAAATTTTCATTCGTGCGTGATTCCTTATCTCAGGCCTGTCCAACATGTGGCCGGCGGGTCCAAATCGAATAGCGCTCCTAGCGGCTTGCTCTTTCAGCCGAGAGGAATGATCCCCCTCCATATCCATAAGAAGCCCGACGAGATACAGGCAAGAAAGCGTGTGCGCATGAGATCGCAACGCAGACAACTAGGAGAATGGACTGAGTGATGATGGGGACCGCGTCGTGTGGTGATGCTACCCGCGGGCCACATGTTGGACAGGACTTTTTTTTATGGAGGAAAACCTTAATAAAGGTGCATCGCCTCCGTTGGGAACGGAGACGGCCCATGCGGGGTTTCACCCGCTCTTCTCTGGGGGGTGCTATTGCCCCCCCCCCACCTCGGGGACGGCTGTGGTGCTGTCTCTCCACCTCCTACCTACAGCGCCGAGGGGTCACCTCTCGACGCTGTCTTCTCGTGGACCAACCGCGAAAGAGGGTGGTACCCCCAGAACCTTCCCTCGGCCCGGTTGCTCTGAGGGCGACGCGAAGGGTCATCGCGTCTCTGACCGCTATAAATCGCGCCTCCCGCAGGGCAACCCCCTTTGCTTACAGCGGAACAGTTCACACCGCTGTATGTAGAAGAAGAGTGAGGCGGTTCAGGGTGCCCAAGGGCCCCCCGTTCCGATCCCACCTCCGGGAAGGGGGACGCCCGCGGGGGCAGCAGTTTGCCGCCTCCACGCCCGCCTCACTCCTCTTCTTTCATCCCGAGCGGGATCGGACCTTTCCTGATCCTGTTCGGCGGCCTCCTTCCGTGTGAGGATGTCCTCACAGGAGGAGGGCACGACGCCCCAGAGCCCTCTCGTCGCGGACCATGGCTTCTACCACGGCACGCGGCGAGAAGTCCCATCCTACGCGTAGTCAACCTCCGCGCCGCATAGGTGGCACATAGCCGTCGCCTCCGCTCCGATCTTGCACAGGTACTCACCGAAACATCCGTGTCCGATGAGCACCTGTGTGAGGCGGTAGGTTAGCCTACCATGGCCGCGGTCCATCTATGCGTCCAGGCATAGAAGGACCGCCCCGACTACATTTCAGCCACCATAACTTTACCACAGGATTAATCGTGGCATTTCTAGTTCCAGGATGAACGGAACGACGACGTACGCGAGTGCACCCATCACTTTAGCTGAGATAATAGGCTACGAGTCGGAGATAAGAATGAATAAACCAGAGCACGGCCTGGACAATGACCTTGATGTATCTCCGGTTACACTGTCCTCAGCCTGGTCCCGAGTGGCGAGACTACTTTTGCTATCCTCGATGGCCGTTGGTGGTAGCGTTGGAAATATCTTCATGATTTCTGCCGTGGTTGTTGAAGATCAACTTAGAAAACGAGGTTTGTCCCATTTTCAGACATTTATTTAGTTTCTTCTTCAAGTTCCAGTATTTTCAGATATTTACAGTATTTCGAGTATTTTCAGAGATGCCCCACTTACTACACTTTAGAAAACATATGAAACATTGTGTATAATCCAGATCATTCCTTTAATTTAAGCAAAACAAATGAGTGAATAGCGTAATTTGTTGCGTTTCGTGTTTTTTTGGATATATTTACTGAAACAAATAAGTATGTAGGGGTTATACAGGGTGTCTTAGCAAACATGATCATCCTGAATAATGACTTAACGGTACATTTTATGAAAATTTTGAGGCGTGGAACTTAAATGGCTTCAAGGGGCACATGTTATAATGTACGTGCTTCTTTTGTGGGTGGAGGCATTGTTATGTTATGGCCGCCCTAACTTTCGGCCGCCCGATCGCGTTCGATGCTTAGATAGTGATGAGACACCGAGCCGAATTCAAGTCGATCAAGTCAGACAACGTCACGGGGCCTCGGCTCACGGCGACCGTATCAAATCGCTATAAGCATGCGGTGACCGACGTTCGAGTTACAATGTAACACACAGAAGGAATCACCCATGAATAAAAATTTAAACTTTTACTCCTTTCAGTGTACTTTCTTAAAAATATTATGAATAAATAAGTCCACACACGACATAAATCAGACTATATTTACTACCTACAATTGGTATCGCGACATAACGTATGAATAAAAATTGTTTTCAAAAATTTTGAAAAACATTGTACACGTTGCAAATACCGGGGCACCAATTACAGAATTTTCTTCAATTTTTCGGTTGAAAATTCTAGGTGGCAAAAATTAAGAACCCTAAAAAATGATAACAAATGCGAATTTCTTAGTATGTATTGTATCTTACTACTGTTTCGCGGCTATGTACAATACAATATTACACTGACTGCTGCGTGGTCTACGACTGATAACTTTAAATTACGAAGAACTTCCCAAATTTCCGTGTTCTGGCACTACCAAGGCGCGGTTTGTGCACTTGACTCCTCGGTTTGTGGCGCGTACGTAACGAGGGTAATAAAACGGCGGTTTGACGATCTTACCAGGTCGGTTTGACCTCACGACTATGTACCTGGTTTCGCAGTACGGACCCCCTTTAAAATCGCGTGTTAATCAGTTCGCTTCCCAGCGCAGAGTGCTGATCGACGGGCTCGCATCGACAGCGACCTCCCTCGATCAGCACCTGGTGGGGATCGATGCGCACGCAATCTCATTAGATAGAGGGGCATTAGCTCCGCGTTCCTTCTATGGCCGCTGCTCGCCCGTCATATATATATGTCTCTACAATATCTAATTATGTAATCGGAACGGTTACAAGATTAAAACATAAACTTAATGCAATCATTTTAATTAGAGAATACAGCATTACCAAGTCCGTACACATTCGATAGAAATTAATTGGAAATCGATAAGCCGCTTTGTTCAATATTGAGACAAATCAATTGACGGGGGCAGCACTTCCCAATGATCATCAACGAACCGACCATGCAACAGCCGATCAGCCATGAACGATGCATCGGTAATAGCTGGCATCACCGCAGATTCACGCACACCACGCGCTGATAGCTGCGTGTGGCGTGCGCGTCGCTCACCACGAGCCAATCGCGGCCCGTGGCGTGCGTGTCGCTTAGCGAAAGCACCAATTGCAATCATCAACAGTGATACGTCACATCCGTCTTCCTTACAAGCTGGCGGAAACGACGTCTCACTCGCTCTCACTCTTGTCCGGATCGTGGTATCAACCGCATCGTACACGACTCAACAGGTTTTCTGTTAGTGTGACTCTTGTGCACAACTCTTCACTGTTCGTATAAACCGTGAATACCGTGACGGAACACCTACTCAAGAAGCACAACTCTGTACAACCCCGTAGCTCAACTCACCACCAGACCAGCTCACGCCGAATTATCATCATCTGATCGGCCATTGTCGAACCACCTGCGACCACGAGGTGATTTACGACCACCTCGTTGTGCATATCATCGCAGTGGTTACTCATCCGCACGGTAAACATTCAAGTCTCATTTACACGTAGACTATCTTGCAATAGAACAACTCATAGTGTGGCCATTCAGTTCCTAATGAACAGTACTCTACATTTGACTTAATCAAACAGAATCACATGGCCTAACTCACACGATTTACTCAGTGTACGTCAGCTCATTCTTGTTGTAGTCAAATTCTCAAACCTGCTCATCCATTGTTTCCATAAATCTCAATTAAGTTGGTCACTAACTGTCAGATTCACCAGCCATAGGTTACACATTGATACTTCACGTCAGAGATATTAGACTCATTGGTTCATGGAACACTTTGAATTCTGGCTCATTTATTGTTTTACCCACTATTGACTCAATAAAGTAATCACAAAACCAACATGTGTACATTTATTTGCCACACTGCTGTCACCAGACATCCGTTTCAATCCTGGCTCGTTCCTTGCAAATGCCACTCACATACAGTCCACTAAACTCCTACAATTAACAACTAGACACCGAGCATTACGCAACACGCTTATTGATCTACTAGCTTTCTTCTCGCGGTTTCGCTTGCGTAAATTTCTAGACTTGGAAAAATTTCTTTTTAAACGAAATTATAATTAAAGAAGTAAGTATGTTCGAGATTAGACTCGAAGAGAGAGAATCGAAGGAGCACCGTCTTGATTGTGTAACAAAACAATCGCGATACAAATTGTATGTTCTTAAACATTGTCCGATTTATGTCGTGCTTGGACTCATTTTCATCAGGAGTGTCTCCTGCATTCATTCATAACATTTTTAAGATTGTACACTGAAAGAAGTAAAAGTTTAAATGTTTCCTCATACGCAAGGCCGGCCCTAGGGTAGTCGGCGCCCTGCTGCGAAGTTCTTTTATAGCGCCCCCGTCTCCCTATATTTTTTTAAAAACAATAGTGGCTAATTTTCGAGTAATAAAGATATTAAAAATATAATATTGTTATTAACAATTTAATTTTATATAAATCTTTGTGGAGTACCTAGTATACAATGTAATGTAATGAGTTACATAAAACACTACATAAGTACTAAGTAGTATACATAAAACAAAACGGATTTACTCGTATTATAAATTCTTAAATTCTTAAGAAATTTAAATTAATCAGCAAACATTGATATTAAAATTTTACTTTTCTGGCATTTATGCAAGCAAATTCATCAATAATTTCTTTATTACTCAGCATGGTAGCAACACTATGTTCTATTGTAATTATTGTAAAATCTGTGACGAAGTGTCACGTATACGAGCCACCGGGTCATACATAATACGGAGAACACCGATACCGCGGCATGCTCTACCGTTCTCTCTCGTTCACACACCACCCCCCCCCCTTCCTTCCTAGGCCGACGCACGGCCGATGGAGAGCGGCGAACACACGGCACTGACGCACTCACTCGCTCCGATTGGAATGTGCGTTCCGACGGAGAGAGCCGACCCCGTGACTCTCGCGGTCTCGCTCGCTCAGACCAATTTTTTTTTTTTTTTTTTTTTACGTGAGGGAATGCATTTACGCACACCCCCGCCATCCTCCAATGTGGGCGGATTGGGCAAGGGTAGTGTAGGACTCTCCCCCAATAGGGCAAAGCCCAGGGGGAATACCCACTAAACCCTCACGGTGGCCGGGCTCGGCGCTATGCGGGGAGGCACCGGGATCTCTTGCGAACACAACCGGTACCTCCCCAGCGCCAGCTCCGACAGTTGACGGCGGAGCGCCCTCTCAGTGGTGGGGGAAGCGGAGATCTCCCCCCCCCCCC